TTAGATTATGTGCAGAATTTCACCCAGCTAAGGGTCTTCCTTTCCACCAGTTAAGACATCATGGGCATTCTGTCATGCTCCATAAAGAGTGCTTTAGTTTTCTTTTTGAGGAAAGTGAAGATTCATGTCAAAGTTGGTGTTGGTTACATACCAGAGCTACTACACTTTGGAAAAAAAGCCAATCTCTGATGAGAAGACCCTTTCTGGTCATCTCTCTGTATATACTTACAAGCCCTATAAGTGTGTTTTTTAGACACATTTAGATTTCAGTTTTGTTAAATCTCATTCTTCCAGACTATCAACCCTCTCCTGGCTTCAATTAATTTATTCACACATTTATATTAAAATTTTTTATTGATAACCTATTGTATCATTCTACTTATATGTGTGTGCATGCTGAAAATCGAAGACTGATGTGCTATTGGACTATGACTCAGATGTCCTAGGACTAGTTGAGAAATGCTGGTTGCATCAAATCTCTTGGTTTTAAATGTTATCTCTGTGTTGATGGCTCCTCATCATGCCTCCAGCCCTTTATTCTTACCTAAAGACTTATAAATCCTGCTTCCTGCTTGACATGTGTGTCTGCGTGTTTGGAAGACAGCCCATACTTCGCAGGCCTCAGGACGAGCTCTTGACTTCCTCCCTCCAACCTGTTCTCACCCTACTCTTCCCCACTTTAGTAAATGACGGTTCTGTCATTGAAGGTGTTCAGGCCAGAAACCTGGAACTATTCCTTATCTTTTCTCTTTGCATCAAACCATACCTTCACAATATCACTTGCTATTTCTCTTGCCCAGAATGATTTTCCCCACCTATGGTACAAACCCTCACAGCACCTGGGTCTCTGCTTCATTATCTTCAAACTTTTTTTTTCTCTAATCTAATCTTTCCACCCACTTTGTCAGTTCTGTCATTTAAACATGAATTTCTCCTTTACTCCCACACTGTCACTCTCTTTGCTCGAGATAGCATCATCTTTTGTTTGGATCTGTGCAACAGTCACTAACTGGATCTCTGCCATTGATGTGGCTCTAACTTCACTGATCTTTCTATGTTACAAGAGCTACCTTCTGAAAACCAATTCTGATCTTGCACCTTCTCTGATGAAAGCCCCTGACTGCACAAAAGCCAGCTTGTCAATAACTTCATGGTAGCAGGCCATATTTACTTTTTGTCAAAGTTCTGGCCTGACCTTCCACTGCAGCCTCCTATCCAGGCGTTCCCCACCTTGCTACTTCACCTGAAGCCACGTGGCATGTCTATCCTGCAGTTATCCCATCGTGAGCATTACCTTTACTTCTTTCGCTGCTATTTCTGTGATAACTTCAGCTCTTTCTTCTCACACAGAGGGGCTGCTTTCTCCTCTACCTTGCCACTGGAAGCTTGGGACAGCCCCTGCTTTAATTCTTCCAAACACAACTGGAATCCACATTGTAGAAGATTGAGTCTTAGTAATTATCTCAGCCCTTTTTATTCCAAATGCATTCCTCTGTATCCCCATCGACCTACTTCTTTTTTAATACCTGAAGTATTAGCCTTTTTCTTTTCTATCTTTCCACCATGTGATTCCACACTATGTTGTCCACATACTATACAGCCGTTAACACACTGCATTATAAATATGTTTATATCAATCTTCCTGTTTAGGAATCTTGTATTGCTATTCACCTTTGTATTGCTATAGCATATCTGATTATCCAGCACATAGCAAGTGTTTAATAATTTGTTGATTGACTGAATTTTTAAACCATATTAAAATATGAGGATTCTAGCAGGTATTTTACTACTGTATCATGCCCTATTGATTTGAAGAACAGACTTCATAGACTTAAGAAAAAATGTTTCTTATAAGGTCGAATAGTTTATTTGATTTTTTAATTTTATTGTAAATAGTTTAATAACTATTTAAGTTTAAAATAACATATGCTCATTCAAGAAAATTAAGAAAAATCTTTTCAGATAGAAACAAGTCGAATGATAAAACAATTACAGAAACAATATCCAAAAATATTCTGTTCATGGCTTATGTGTTTGCATGTGTGTTTTGTTTTACATGTTGAGTCTCTTTAATGATACTGTATTTTCCCTGTTTTCAAAAATTAACACAGGCTACGAAAGGTATTTTAGACCTACGTCAATCCCTATTAAATATTTGTGATAGCTGCACAATATTAGATCACAGACAGATAACTTTTATTACTATTTCTTTTATAGGGAGGGTATTTTTATTGTGAGAGATATGTTCTTTTCAATCTCAATTTAAAACTCATTTATTCAGGAATTATCTTGTAAAAAGATGACATGTTTTTCTGTGTACTGTCTATACTATAACCCCTGTGTTGACATAGCATAAATAGTTGATAGTGCAATCAGCCTGCCAGTTTTAAAATTGTGAACTCTGTAAAATTTTTGTTAGTTTAAAAGTTTGGGGGGATGTTTTCATTAACTAAAATAATGCACATACAGCGAGATTATAAAAACATATGCACATCATACTCTTTCAAAGTCATATAACTTAAATTCATGGAATCCACAGAAATTTCTAGTGAACTGGTTACCAAAATAGCATGAAATTGTCAAGACAGAACAAACTTTTTTCTTCATAGAATGACTGCTTGTCAATATAAACACAATATACTACGTTCTTTTCTAGGCAGTGGGAGTGCTGTTGTTTTGTCTGGATTACTGGGTAAATTAAAATAACCTCCCTTTCCTGATGCTATGTAGTTTAAGAGTTTCGTTTAGGAGTTTAAAACATTTTTCAGATTTTTGGTGAACTTTTTTTCTCTTTATTCCAGTGCCTGGTGTCCTCATAAATTTACCTGTGAGTGTGTATTTTTAAGAGGGAGACTAAAAATGTATTGAGTTTAGTGTTAAACAAAGAAAATATCTCAGCTGTCCTAAATCTGGTGTGCTAGCAGGGATAAATGCTTTAAATAAATGCAATGAAACTCTCACTACAAAATTTCAGAAACAAGTTGGTGATTAGTTTTGGGGAGTGACTTCTTGCAACCTGAAGTTATGCTAGGTAAAACATATTCCCAATTTCTTAAGGGCCACCCTGTGGTCATTGCCTGTAAAATAGCAGACAAATAGATTAGCTACACTGTCTTTAGTTTTGATCCCTGGGTTAAATTTTACTGTTTGCCTTTTTTTTTTGATCTTGGGCAAGTTTGGGCAGAGGTAATGATGACACTCAGGAAGAGCCAGTTCAAATAAGTATCCAGTTTATAGCCAGGCAGATAATTCTGGTCAAACCAGGACCTCAAAGAATTCATTAATTGCAAATGCGGGATGTTTCTCTGTGTGATAAATGACAAATATGAAGCTGGAAAACAAAAAGTTAAAAAAAAAAGTACCTAGACCAATTTGTGGGTCCTCTCTTTAGAGTTTTAAATGGCTAAATTTACAACCACTTAGCCATCAATAGCTTCCTGTAAAATTTTTAGCCTGCATCGATGTTACATGTCCTGTAATTTCTCAGAGAGAAGAGGAGAGATGAATGTACGGGCATCAAAATGCAGATAGAGGTCTGCTAGGAAGCTACAAGAAACTCAACGTGCATTGAGGTTTTAGCATAACATCATCGTTCATATAACAATATACTTTTTAAAAAAAGCGAAGCTCGATGCTGAGTAAGCTATGAGTATGTGCAGCATTATATCACAGATGATAATGATCAGTATTTTGAATACTGAATACCCCTCAATTGTGTAAGACTCGTCATTCAATTTCTGTGCTATCCTATGACCTTTTTTCTGTACATTAGGCCCTTTACCAGAAAGTGGATGGCATAAGAAAAAGAAAGAGGATCTCATTTAATCCAGTTTTTATGTTTCTGTGCTGTTTGAAGTAGTAGCGTCCTTAGCCAACCCCTGCCTTCTGCAGCTCTTCTTAGCAAGGATCCTAGAAACCTTCCTTGGACATTCTCTTGTGTCAACTACATATAAACCTCCTCTTCCTGAGCAGCTCCCACCCCTGCACATGTAAATTCGTAATGCAGGTCCAGCAATTGTTGGTGCTGGCCCGGACTTTAGAACTGAGCTGGGCCTCGGCTTTCTTGTCTAGTCCTTCAGCTCCTCAGGACTGACCTGAGCGCCCACTTCTGTGACTGCCCTGAAGTGAAGGAGCAAGGAAAAGGGGAGTGGAAGCGAGGGGGACAGCGTGTGCATGTGCTTTGGTTTCTCCAGCTCCAGCACACGTCTGTCACCTGCCTCTGTTTTTCTGAGGTCACAAGCATCTCTGAGTATAATAATCTCCAACGCCCCACACCTGCCTCACTCGTCAAGCACTAATCAAGTCAGTAGGCAAAAACATAATTTTTTCCCTCTTTATATTAGAGCTTCTCAAAGTGTCTCTGATGAACATCAGAATCAGAACCACCCATGAAAATTATTTTTAAAGCAGAAATTTTTGGCAACTACTGTCAGAGTAATTTGACTATTAACAAGCTTCTTAAGTAATTATTTTTACTCACTCAAGTTTGAGAACCACTGTTTGTAGCTTCTCAGATCCTTGTGATATTAGATAAATACAATTGGACAAAAATAATTATAAAAATAATACATGTTTGTTTTTGAAGCTATTCCATCATTTTAAAAAATATGTTCTCATTCATTCTTCATAATTATAGCTAATAGTCGTGGAAAAGTATTTGGGGAATAACTAGTTTGTCGCAGCAAACAATAAGGGATATTCTGCTACTTAATTTTTTAAAGACAGCAAGAATGCTTTGAAGAAGATATAGTATAAAAATTAAGAACGCTTTCAGCTTAAATAAAGAAATATATTTGCAAACTGGCATATGAGAATAGTTTAATAGCATGTTTTATTAAACATTAAATGTATGAATGTATGGGATTTTTTCAAGATGTATCTTAAAAGTAAAATATGTCACCATATGTTATTTTTCACATAAGCAAATATTTAAATCTGAGTTTATTGGCCAGTGGCCATTCTTTTTTTTTTCTTTTTCTTTTATTGATTATACATATCTGTGGGATACATCAATTCTCATGTGCAATATGTGATGCTAACATCAGAATAATTATTATGTTCAATAATATACAGTGTCATTGCTATTCGTGGCCCTTTACCCATACCTTCCTCCCCCTTCCCTTCCCACTTCTAGTAACCTCAATTGTCCTTTTGAAAGTTCAATTTATTATTGTGAATGTTGTATCCTTCTATCTCTCTTTTATTTGTATGTTTATTATTTTAGCTCCCACTTATGAGAACATACAGTATTTCACTTTCTGTTTCTGGCTTATTTCACTCAATATGATTTTCTCTAAGTTCATCCATGTTGCTGCAAATGGCAATATTTTGTTCTTTTTTATAGCCAAGTAATATTCCACTGTGTATATATACCCCAGTAGCCATTCTCATATTGCATGTTTTGTTAGAAATCTGTGAATATAATTGCAAGTTGAATGAAAAAAATTAGTTATATCATCAATCAAAAGAAGTAATGCTTTCTGTTTTACTCATTTTTTCATCTCCAAAAGAGACCTATTTGAATAGCAGGAGTATAGAAATACACTCAATTAGATATTTTCCCCCACTGATTTTTTTCCACTCTGTTTTCATGCCAGTTCTCCCTGTCCAAGCACATTGTGCTACTCATCATAAGTATCGCAAAGTACTACTCACGGGCTCAGAAAGTCCCTTCGTGTGTCAACAATATGTGCAGACTGCTCAGAATCACCTCTTCACACAGTTTTCATCATGGCACACCCTCAATCTTCAGTGAAGCCTCATGGACATGACTTAACCGCATGAAAATGCCTTTTTAGCCCCATTTTCAGGGCTTTTCTTTAGCTCTTCTGCTCACTTCAACTTGCTTTCCTTCCTTTATTTTCTTCACTCCAAATAAGTCTGTCTACTTATTTTAAGGCATGCTTTGCGTATTAATTCCACCTCTGTGCTTTCTCACATGCCATTCATCTCCCATCAGAAATCTTTCTTTTGATTGTTGTAATCTGTATTCATGAACTCCTTCTCTTCCCAGGAGGTGAGAGGAGGCTTTTCAGCTTAATTCAATGTCATGCTAATCATTCTATCACTGGGCAATCCTCTAGTCACTAGGGGTATCTCTTCCCATGGTCTTGACACATTCTGTCACTATTTTATTTCTAATTAATTGTGAACTCATAAATTTGCATAAACTAAAATTTCGTGACATCTAAACATGTATATTGTTAGAATATTATTAGAATAATAATAATATGAATATTGTTAAAATATTAGAATAAGGAGCTCTTTAAAAATACTCCCTACCTCAGACTTATTGAATTTAAATCGCTAGCCTTTAGGAAAAAATTTCGTTTTGTATTTTTAATCAAGCTTTTCATGGACTTTAATCAACAAATTTTGAGCTTGTATTGTGTACCATCAATTTAAATATTCTATAAATGACAATAGCTAAGAGTTGGAACCAACCTAAATGTGCATCAACAAATGACTCGATAAGGAAAAAGTGGTATATCTACACAATGGAATACTACTCTGCAATAAGAAAGAACGAAATACTGCCATTCACAGCAACATGGATAAACTTGGAGAAAATTATATTGAGTGAAATAAGCCAGGCACAGAAAGAGAAATACCACATGTCCTCACTCATAAGTGGAAGCTAAAAAAAAGAGGGAGGAAGGAAGGAAGGAAGGAAGGAAGGAAGGAAGGAAGGAAGGAAGGAAGGAAGGAAGGAAGGAAGGAAGGAAGGAAGGAAGGAAGGAAAATACAGTAAGTACAATAATTCATTGAACTTTCAAAAGGAGAGAACAGAACTGAAGCCACCAGAGGTGGGAAAGGGGGCGGGGGGAGGAGGAGTTCGTGAGAAACTGGTAAAGGGCCACACAAAGAGATTACATTATATAATGTTGAATATGCTAATTATCAGATTTAGGCATCACACATTGCACACAGGTATGAATATTCAATACTGTACCCCACAGATATGTACAATCAATTATATTTCAATAAATAAAAATAATTCTATAAATGATATTAGTTGAGGTTAGCATAATTTAATTACCCCCACCTTTCTGTCCAGGCTTGTACATGGGTTTATCTGTCTGCACGAGCACCACATTTTCCCTGTGACTGATTGCCAGAGATCTTCTCTCTTCCAGGTTCAGAGTGGCTCCCTTAGCAGAGAATGTAATGAAAGCCAGTGGGTCAGATCTGGATTGAGGAACCTAGAGACCATGAAAATACTTTATGAGACTGGTGTTTTGCCAAGAAATTTATGTCACTATGTATCAGTACCACTAAAAGTTTTAATTCATAACTCGTCATATCTATTTCTTGAATAACCACCCTTGTTTATTTCTATTGCCTTGTTTTTTTCTAATCTTATCTTACCATTTAAATTAATTCTCCTTCACCATTCTTAAAACTTTCCTTCTCTGCACAGGAGTTACTCTTTTTATGTATCTTACTCCCTTCAACAAATTTCTGTCATAAAATCAAATGGTTTGGCTCATTCCCTTATCACCATTTATGACTGTCCTTACATCATCTCAAACTGAGGACTATTTTACTCTTTAAAAAATTGAAATAACTGTACACACACAGTCAAATAATCTGATTTCTTTCCTTCGAAAGTAAGTTATGTAGGCAGCTTTCACGCACCTCTAGTATTCATTGTTATACTAAGCAGAAAGAAGTATTTACCTCAAAGCTGACACATTTGAAAAAATTTTCTCCTGTAACATTCTCTTCAAATATTTTGGTCTGGACCTCACCATAGTTGAGAGAGACAGTCAAAACAACAGATTCAGTCAGATTAAAAAGCTGGGCACACGCTTTATGCAAAGAGCCTTCCTGTAGAACAGAAGGCACCAGCAGGACATACTGCCTACAAAAGGGAAGCAAGAGCGTTAAAATGGAAAGTGTCAAAGCAATGATTAACGCCTTAGCAATTATTTTGTGGGATGAAACATTTTGGAGTTTAGGAAATGAAACATTTTGGAGTTTAAGAAAAATGTTTTTTTTTTCTTTTTACCAGGAAATGATAGTGTAGTGAGATACACTAGCATAGTAAGTGTTTTTAAAAAAAAAGGCTAAATGTGAGGACTTGAAATGTATGGAATGGAAAGATGCTGGCTTATGAATTGAATTTCATAGACCCAACAAAGAAAATTCTAGTGACAAAACAGCAAGTAAGTCATGAGTTCTATAAGCTTAACAATATCAGTCTCCTCGTGCATTGTTTTTTCCCCCAAACCGATACTGCACATTCCATTTCATATCTGCCTCCTTCTTTCTCCAGCAGCTGCCTTGTCCTCAGCACAGTTATAACCCAATCAGCATTCTGGGTATCTACTAAGCAGAGATGGTGGTGCCACTCAAGTTTGGAATTTACTGTGCAAATTAACATATTTTAGATTATATTGTGAAATGGCAATTTTATTTAAAAGCAATTATTGCAATTAAAAATGTAATAAGTTAAAATTTTTAATGGCAAGCTCTATTTGGCTTCCACATGTAAATAAAACCCTATGCAATCACTTACACTTCTGGTGACTGAGAAAGAGACAGATGAAAGAGAAAAACACCCAGAAGTATTCTCATCCACATCGTGATCCAAACAGATGAAGAAGTCAACAGGCTGTGTTCACTAGACCCACATGGAGGTCAGTGTGCTGGGAGCTCAGTCATTCTCACTGGCCAGGAAAGCCAACTGTGGAGCTATATATCCATGCGGGAGCTTTTGCTACTATTTCCTGAATCATTCTTAAAGTGTAACATATGTAACTTAATTGGATATGTTCTTTGAATATTAGTCAACTCTCAGTAGTCATGTCTTTTACATGTCATTAGGTGTGTCATTTGAACATCACCATCTCCTTTACGGAAAATCTTGCATCAGCACTTCCTAGACTTACTATACAATGTCTATGAGTGAAGCTTTCAAGCACTAATTAAACCTCATTTCAATAAATTCAATTACTGCAAATGAATCTGTTATCGCACTACACTTCTCCTGGCTGAGAGCTCACTCTGTGTTGAAAACTCAGCATCAGTTTCTAGTTGGAAATAATTCCATATAGTTATTACAACAGAAGCAATTTGAAAATAATAGAAAATGGCCTAAGGAAGCTCAGATTGAATAAAAAAGATTCAGATAGTATTATGTATTTTTCATTACAAATTGTTAATGTATTTCCATACAAAATATTTTGCATGACAAATATATGCTTAAAACTCTAAATCAAGAGAAAATAACCCCAGATCTCAAATTTTAATATAA